TCAAGACTTAAACAAGCAAAAAACTTTTGGACAATGTTGATATCCCTTGACAGGTAGTATAGACCATTTAGATTGACTCCTTCACCAATCTTTCTCTTTGTGACTCGGTCCTGAAAAACAACATTGTGAGGAGAGAAAATGGCAAGACAATCTAAGGTCTTTGTAATCTTTCCAACGAACAACAATTGGAAAGGGAAAGAAGGAACATAAAGAGCAGGTGACTCGACCCTATCACTCATCAAGTTTATCTTCCCTTTACCTAGAAGAAGTTCCCCCTTACCACTTGCCACATATACATGGCTAGGTTTATGTAACTGAGTATACTCATGTAAACTGGATACTTTGTTTGTTATATGGTCAGTGGCACCTGAGTCTATAATCCAAACATCATGTGAAATACCTATATTTAGAGCAGTGGCACTTGTTATACCTTAGATGTCTCTTTGTGGTACACATTCTAAATCAGCCAAGAATCCGGCAAATTTCCTAAGTAATGCAATGGGATTTCCAGTGGTTCGATCTTCATTCTCAGCACTTCATTTCTTCCTTTGGATATAGGTAGCAAACTCATTTATTAAATTAACCGGATTGGAGGTGAAATTTACCAGTTTATCAGTAGATGTGTTTGCTGCATGATAGGCCTTTGGATCATGAGTTTGTGAGTGGTTGACTTACATCTTTGAAAGACTTGTTTTCAAACTTAAATCTTAATTCAGGATGTAAGATCCAACACTTCTCCCTTAAATGACCACCACCATTGCAGTAAGTGCACTTCCAATCTGACCTCCTTCCTTTGAACTGCTTGTCCCTAGTTGATTTGTAATTGACATTGAATGCTCTAGCTTTAAGGTTGGTCTTGATTTTGATACTCATCACTTTCCTGCGGGTTTCTTCTCTTTGCACAGCTTGACACACATTTGCAAAGGATGGAAGCTCATGAGTCATCAAAAGGTGGCTCCTGAGATCTTCATACTCTGGTCCTAAACTAGCTAAGATTCGGAAAACCTTGTCTTTATCAGCCCTCTTCAGAAGCACAGCGGAATCAGTGGTGTGTGGGTGATACAAATCTAGTTCGTTCGACATGTTCTTCAAGCTTCCAAGGTGTTGAACAAACGCTTGATCACCTTGCTTTAAACTAGCAAGATTTTTTTTGAGTTGGAACACATGAGCAGCGTTGTTTTGACTCCCGTACATCTCCTTAATTGCTTCCCAAAGAATATATGAGGATTATGAGTAATTGAAAAGCTCAGACAGATTGGGCTCCATGGAGTTGAGCAACCACGACATAACCAGTTGGTCATTACACAACCATGCATCATAAGACGTAGAGGTAGTTTCAGAAGGTTTAATGTTGCCATTGATGTACCCTATCTTGGATCTTCCTTCTAGGGCGAGTGTGACAGCACAAGACCAAGGTAGATAGTTGAATTCATTTAACAACACGGAGCACAACCTTGGATTAGGATTGGTAGAGGAACTCGTAGCCTCTGAAACCAAAAGGTTGTCTTCTGCCATTTTTTGTGGGATGAACAGAAGAGCAAAAAAAAAAAAAAAAAAGTAAAGAATAAATTAGAGGCAGGCCAATTATGGTTCCTGCTTGATATCATGTTGATTTCTAGTTCAAAGTGATTGTTTGTATTCATTCATAAGTAACAATTACAAGAAAGGGCTCTATATAGAGAGACTGAGCAAGATTAGCAGCTAAAGACAAAAAGGCAGCTACAAGCCACTGAGATGGGCCACTAGTTAAACCAACTAAACTAGACACAAGTTTCTAGGTAAAGTATGAAAACCAAAACTATGGAGAAAGATGCATGGAACAGCTGCAACACATTATGGGAGGTATGGAGCTGCAAATGCAGCTTTATCTCATTCACCAAATGACACAGGAATGCACAATGGCGACTGCAACTCACATGTGAGTACATGAAGTTGCAGATGCAACTTATACTGATGCTGCATATAATTGATGCTGCATAACTGATGCTGCATATGCAACTAAAACCTTGACCACTGATGACTTCTTTCAACAGACTAGGGGTGAGGATTGGAAGTAAGTACAAGGTTTAACCTTTGACAGAAAGTGTTGGAATCTAAAGGTCTTTGCCTAAGTAAGTCAAAGGCAAAGTATATGGAATGCAACTTTAGTGGGAATGAAGGTTCAAATGAGTTAGGGGTGAGGATTGGAGACCAAAAAGTACCAAAGAGCGAATTAACGCTTTCACTATCTTGGATCTATCTTACAAAAGAACGAAGAATTGGATGGAGCATTCAATCATAGAATACAAGCTGAATGGATGAAGTGGAAGAGTGCATCGTGTGTGTTGTACAACTGTCGTATGCCATGAAGGCTCAAGGAATTTTTTTATAGGATGACAATAAGGCTAGCAATGATTTATATCATGAAATGATGGGTGATGAAGCATTCACGTACACAAAATGAGTGTAGTAGAGATGAGAATGCTTCGTTGGATGTGTGGGCACACGAAAAATGACAAAATTAGGAACGAGAATATCCGAGGTAAATTAAGAGTAGCCAAAATTGAAGATAAGATGAAAGAAAATCAGTTAAGGTAGTTTAGGCATGTGAAACGAAGACCTACAGACTCCTCGGTGAGAATATGAGATTATGAGACAGAGGCTCATGTCCAAAGGGGTACAGGAAGACTTGGAAAGAGACTCTAAGAAAAAACTTGGACTACTTGGATCTAACGGAAGACATGACACAAAACCGAGTGCAGTGACGTTCTAAGATTTATATAGCTGACCCCATTTAGCGGGATAAAACTTTATTGTTATTGTTGTTGTTGTTATTACGGTTTTGTCTTACCATCGTTGATTGTATTCATTTTATTATACGATCACAAAACGATCGATCATTCATTGTTTAAGGCCTTAATAAGGAAGGCGACCCTAATGCTGGGAAAGCTACAAACATACCAGCACTAGAGATTCAGAAATTGATCAGAGAAAATGGAGGTTATAGAAGGTGGGAGAGGAAAGGAGAGGAGAGGAGGTTTGCTTTTGCAAGAAGCAGGGATTGATGCTTTGATTAGAGCATTGGTTCGTAAAGAGGCTGTAATCATGTGATCCCATACTATGGCCATTAGTTGGCTATGCATTGGTAAGTGTGCATGATGAATCTGCGGGATTGTGCAACAAGAGATTATCCAAAATGCGGGTGATACACCATGTTTCATTATATAAGTGGTAAGATGTTTGTGTTAAAAAATTAACAACTTGAAAAATAAACATATAATGACACGTGATGTAGCACTCATTTTCTGGGCATAATGAAAATTTTCTCTTGAGCAATATACCAAGAGCGACAATTTCCAGATAAGACATGTTACATGATTTGAAATTCACATGAAAATAAAAACTCTGTGGAAACAATTAAACAATAAATTTTCTCAAATGTTTGAAGAATAACGCAGGCTATTGTATTATTAAATTATTGTTTTAAAATCATTTTATGTGTTAATCAATCTGTAGATTGACAGAACCTCGACATGAATATAAACAGGTTAAACTCGACCCATTCCATCGCTAATAATATGAATAAAAGAATGGGCACTTCCACTGCCACTTCCACAGCTGTAGCCTGCAAGTGAGGTGGTAGTCTCATATGAATCATATGATGATGATTTCTTCTAATGTTATGTGAATCTCAATGTATAAGATATAGTAAAGTTGTCATTGGGTTGGTGTAGGAGAGAACAAAGCAATACAGCTTACTTTGTACATGGACATTTACAACCAACCATCCATCAAACCTTTGGCATTCATTTTCTTGTGCATCCACTTTAGATAATTCTTATGTGCAGATGCACAAGATTCTGACAGCACCAGCTCACATTGTGAAAAAAGAACTAGTTTAGTTTGAAGGGTTTCTTAGCATGGTGGTGTAATCTTTCATTTATGCGTAAGAAGTTATCATTCTTTTTTAAAAAAATCATAATTTGACGAGCATAAATTTTCTTTTATGGGTTTAATGAGATGTTTTTGTATAATTATAAAAAAAAAAAAACCACTTGCGTATGCAAAGAGCTCAACAAGACTCGATATTTTAGGAGAAATTTTTAGTTGTGATGGAAACACGGATGATACATCACGAGTTTTTGTGCAAGTGGTGGAAAATTTTAATTTTTAAGTTATTAACCTTTTAACATATATAATGGATACGTAATGTACCACCTAGTGTGAGGGTCACATTGAAAAATCTCTCATATTTTAAAAATTTAAGGGACCCTCCTCCAAGGAATCCATAGACATCTGCAAGACGTGAGCTTCCTAATAAAAAAAACATTGAGTCATGGTAAGGCTGCTTAAGACGTGAAGTGAACGAACTTCTCTTTGGGCTAATTATTTAAAAAGAATTTTATTTTATTTTTTCAAATATCTTTTTTCGAGAGTTCGAATTTTCTCACCGTTTTAAGAGCATCTTTGATAGAAAATTGTAAATTTTATGACGTAATATGTCACATTTATATCTCATTTTACATTTAAAATAAATTTAAATATGAGTTATATTCCAACAGAAGAAATCTAAATTTAGATCTCATTTATTTTTTTCTCTTTGACTAACGAAACCCACATCCAAAGATGGATAATTTACATTTCTCCATTACAAGGCTTTCCTATAAAATAAAACGTAATATGTCCATCTCAAAACAACTTGTATCTCCCATTAAAGATGCTCTATTTTTTCTTTGAAGATAAAGCTGCAAGCGTTGCCATTACCTTAAAAAAACTCATGTCTTAACATAATGATGCTCTTTCTTTCAAACTTTAAAAAAAGACAAAATATAAAATCTTCAAAAGAGGGACAAAAGTCTTTATGGGCCTCCCAAAAAATACATTTTTTTCTTAATTTTCTTCTAAAAAAGGATGTGAGGAAATATTTTCTAGATATGGTGTATTCTTTGTTTTTTTGGTCAATTTAGTAATAATACAACCTAAAGAAAATTAGAAAAATAATGTGGACCCCACAAATTGCTTTGCAGAACAAGGAAGAAACCAGAAAATGTTCATGAGCTGTGGGGCTTTGTAGACAGTAGCAAAGTTCAAATCTGTATAATCCTTTGCATTTATAGCATCTTTAAATTTTTACAGCTGATCAAATCAGATAAAAAAATTCAACACAAATAGAAAAATCCCTCCACTGCCAATCAGCATGTTCTAGTTGCTGAAATTTCTCAACCAAGATCCATTCCTCTTTCCTCTCTCCCCTTTGCCAAACATGCAAAACCGCCTTATTTTTTAATTTCATTTCCTTTCAGAGCCCCAAGGTTTTGGTTCATGTGGAAAACATTGATAAATAAGATTAGGGTTTTCCTTGTTTGAGGTTTGATTCTTTATTTCAAATCTTAAAAATCTTGAAATCTTGGTCTGTGCGTCTATCTGGCATCTGGGTTTCTTGAGTTTTAGAGTGCAAGCTAAGTAAGTTTGGCTTCTGATCAATTTACTTGCTCCGGTTTCTGGGATTTGTAAAGTGAGAGTTCAGGGTTTAGGGTTTTTGATATATATGTGATCCTTTTTGCGATATTGTAAACTGCGGAGAAGGGGATTCAAACTCGGTATACAGGGGAGCACGTCTTTTCTGACTAATGTGCTTACGCCTACGTTTCAAAGTTTTTTTGTGAAGAGAAGAAAGATTAATGTTTTACTTGGGATTTTGAGCAATGGGGTTATCTGGGTTTTTCCTAATATGTATGCTCCACTCTGTGATTGTTCTGATTTGTGGAGCTTTCATGATGTTTTACTCCTACGAATTCTCTGTGTTTAGCCATGGCCATGAGACGGCAAGCAAGCTCCAAGGATCGACGCCTCACGACCGGCTTTTGATCCGAACAGCGGATTCCTTCTCCGGATTGCTTCTGTTTGCCATTGGATTCCTTCTGTTCATGGTTGCTTTTGTCAAAGACCACAAGTTCCAAAGCTTCTTTTCCAAGGGGTGCGTGTTGCTTCACATTTCCATGGCCATTTGGAGAGTTTACTTCGAGAGGAACCTTGAAGAGCTCGCCGGAGACTGGCCAAAACAGGTCGCTGGTGACATCACATTGGCGCTTTCATGGGTGTTACTTCTTGTGTACTCATGGAGGGAGAAGTATGATTAGTAGAAAAATGCATTTGCTTTGCTGCGATACTTCTAAGGTGCTCCAGAGTATCTTATATTTCGAGTTCTTCAACTTCTTGATCATGTTGAAAATTGGAATGATTTTGTCTAACAAAACAAATGATGTTGAATTCTAGTAACTACAAGAATTGAAGGTAGAGAAAAACAAAGATTAGGTTTCACTTCTGGTTAGTTTATAGGTTGTTTGGATCTTGTTAATCTAGAACATGTTCTACAAACGCTCTTGTTTATTTGCAATTTTGCACATTCGCTTGTGTCCATGTTGTAAATTTTCACATTAAAGAATGAATAAAATGACAACAAATGCATTTATTCGTGTCTTTCACTTGGTTTCGTGACAATGTGTGATCAACTCACATATGCATTTTTTGGAAGGGGCGTTTTGAATTAGATGCCTCATTTTTAAATGTCATAGACTAAATATATATTTCTTTTGCAAATTTGATTAAATATTTTCCCTACAATTTTGGTACTTTAATTTTATTTCATTAGAAGTCTATTCACGTTAGCATTCCCTTTTTTCCTCTTATTTTTATGCATCTCTTATTATAATGATTTAAGATTTTTTTTAATTAAAATATTTATTTTAGTAAATTAAATAGAACGTAACAAAACTCATTGTTAGGTACGTTTAATTATAATGGTACATTTTGTTACTTGGTATATTTGAATTTTTGGTTCATTTGGCTTCTTGGTACATTTGAATTTTTGGTACATTTAGTTTTTGGTACATTTGAATTTTTGGTACATTTGTTTTCAAAACATAAGTTTTATTACTTTTTGTTCTAATAATGAGAAATTACTTTAATTAATTAATTATTTTTTTTTTTATAGAAAGAGTCATTAACAATGTTTGTGACAGCCCATCCCGAATTATTTTTATCAATAGTGCGAAATGTCTATTTTGCCCTTGAACGTTGAGATGTGTTGTGTGTGACATGCTTTTAGAGGTGGACCAATATGTTAAGTCTTAATGGTTTGGACACAATTAGAACTTAGATTTTCTTTGTTTTGGTTGGCTGCAAGCTGGACCACACCCTCACACACACACACCACTCCCGTGTACCCTCTTTCTCATTTCTCTCGGATTTTTCTTCCATTTTCGTACAATTGTACGGACAACTCTCAAACTAACCCTTTCAAACATCACGGATTGAGGTCATGAATGCTATTTTTGGATTCCTTGCAAGCTTAGGAGTCGAATGGCGGTGGTGGTTGGACGTGAAAACCTCGGAAACCTTTGAAACCAGAATTCCCGATTTGGGTTACTGTTCATGCAGTCGTGATCGTGGACTTTTCTTTGAGTTTTAGGGTTCTAGGGAGTTTTAGGATGTCTTCACGAACCTCGGGGAAGAAAGTTGGAGTGTTTTGGACATCGGGAAGCTTAGTTTTGGAGAGTTACAGTAGTGGCCTGATTATCATGGGTTTTTCCGGCGAGATCCTGTTGGACTTAAGTCCTAAAAGTGGTAAGGTGTTGTTCTACTCATTGTAAGCTTCATTTTGGTACAAATTTCATGGATTTTGGTTAAGAAATGAGAAAGATATGAAGTTTTAAAGTTTTTTCAGAAACTGGCCAAAATTCGAGTTTCAGACGGCGGCGACCGGCGATGCTTGCCGAAGAAGGAGATGAATATTCTGTTAGAGTTGAAGGAATATTATAACGGCATCAAGTAACGTCGTTAACTTCTATTAAGGTTTTAACAGAATATTCCTAACTGTCGTTAACTGTTCCGTTAGAGTTGGCCGCGCGTTGGGGCGCGTCTAGCCGTGGCTTGGCTGGAGTGTGGGTGGTCGGAAAATTTTTCTAAAAACATGGGGATGTTCGTGGTGTTAAGTTGATCATGTTGGTATATTCAAACACCTCATTTGAGCAATGTATGAAAAGTTATTAGCTAGTTTTGTTTATGTGCTTTAAATTAACGTTTATATAGTTGTTTCGCATATAGGTGTGACCTATCCTCTGGATGAGCGCAGTCAATCGAGGCTTAGGGGCTACGACCCTTCCACATACCAGTGAGTGGGTTTTTGGTTTTCCGTATATACCTATATACTTGATATTTTTCCCAGAAAATTGATTTAAATGAATTTATGTTTAGAAATGCCATGCATATTGATTTATACGAAGATCATCGAATTAATATAGTATGCATAAATGTGATTTGATGCTGTGGACACTCAGGTAAGTACTAGGTGAGTTGTAGATTGTTAATTGATGATTATGTGAGATGTGTTGAGAGCTCATAAACCTGCATCCCCGTGTTAGTGCTCCTGCCATGGTTAGGGCACAGTCCTTCATGTAATGTTCACCTCGCACACCATACGCTCACCTTGGATCCAAGTTAGGTGCACAGGCTTGTCGTACAGACCACTATAGGTGGTTCCGACTCATAGGTGACCCGCGATTATTCGCACAATCTTCACGTGATCGTAGCATTAGAGTGTATTTATTTACAAATGTAGGATCACCTTTGGGTGTTGTATAATTAGTACTTGTCCTGTCGGACTGCACTTAGGCTACTTATGCTCTGGTTGTGTATTTCACACTTAATCTCGCACTAGCACCTTTTCTTAGCTAGTATTGCTGGTAACTTGGTTTTTATTTATTTGTATTTCTCTATATCAATATTGCTTCCGCACTTTGCACATGGTTAAGTCACTCTCATGTGACGGCCAGCATGCCTCGATATAGATTGGGGTGTGTCAGTTTTGGTATCATAGCACTAGGTTTGGTAGTCCTGCATATTTTGTGAATATTCTAATTATTTTGGTGTCTTCTGTTTGAACAATGCCGCCTCGTAGAAAGCCATGTCGTTTAGCTAAGCCTAGTCTCCCCGATATAGCTCAGTTAAGGGAAGTTATGGCCAATGCTATTCAGTGTTCGCTTCGCCCTCCTCAGAGGACTCCCCTGCAGACTATATATAATTTGAAGTTGGATAAGTTTAAGGGTAATGAAGGACATGAATGAGCAGAGCGGTGGCTCGATCATCTTGAAAAGACTTTCCGAGTGATGTAAAGTCAATGGAATCTTCCTCCTGAAAGGTGGGTCGAGACGACTACATGGTTCTTAGGTAAAGAACCAGCATCCTAGTGGAAGGCTTATCAGTTGACCCTAAAGGAAATTGCTGACTGGGAAATGTTTAAATAGTTGTTTCAAAAAAGGTTTATTTCTCCTGAGTATATTGATCGCAAGAAGCAAGAATTTACTCAATTGAGACAGGGGAAGATGACGGCGAATTAGTATTACAGGAGATTCACTGACTTGTCTCGTTATCATCCGAATGTTTATGCTAATCCGATTGAGATGCTCCGTCGTTTCAGATTGGGTACTAAGAAGAAGTGGCGTTCTATGGCAACCACTACTTATTGTGCTTCTTACCAGGAGTTCTATGAGATTTTGTTGAGGATTGAGGATTCAGAGAATATGCCTAGTAAGAGTGAAGAGGAAGAAGAAAAATACGGCAATCAGAAGAGAGATGATAAAGGTAAAGGTGAATCATCTCAAGGACCTCACAAGACTTAAAGCTTTAAGCAAAGAGGAGCTAGTTCCAGTTCTTCCAATGGGGGTTTTAGTGCCACTGGTCAGAGAAGAGGTGGTAGAGTTTCTAGGGGTCCTAGATTCCAGAGGTAGGGGGATGCTAGTAAATGAATTGCTCCGTTGTGCCGCAGATGTAATAATAGACATTTGGGGAGTGTATGAGAGGCAGCAGTGGATGTTTTACTTGTGGTCAAATGGGACATAGAGCTATAAATTGTCCCCAGAATCAGCAGAGGCCCTATCAGCCTTTTTTACCACCACCAGTGCCAATCCAACAAGTTCCAGGGTTTGGTAGTTATGGACAGATGAGTCGTGGTGGTGCTTACCATTATCAGGGTGACGCCGCTCCTTATGCTTCAAGGTAGTATTAGTATTCCCAGGATTCGTAATACCAGAGTGGGTATCCTCAATATTCTGGAGGTTATACGCCGTATCCTCCCATTCCAGCTAATGGATCTCAGTGGTACCAGGGAGGACATCCCCAGCAAGCAGAGATTGCTTCCAATGGTGTAGGATCTTTGAGGTAACCTGGTCAGCCAAGTCAGGGCTGTGGTGTGCAGGGGCGAAATAATCAAGCTAGTAGAGGTCGTGGGGGACGACAACAAGCCTATGGACGTTTTAACAATATCTCTCTGTAGGATGCTCAGAATCATCCGGACTTGATCATGGGTATGTTAAACATTCTTGGTCATTTTGCTAGAGTTTTAATTGATTGTGGTGCTATGTATTCTGTCATTTCTCGTACATTTCCTCAATTGACGCAACCTCATCCTACACCTCTAGGGTATGATTTAGAGTTTGCTATGCCTAGAGGGGAGCGATATTATGTTGATTGTGTATATCCAGGATGTCCAGTGATGGTGGAAGATGTAGTTATGCTAGCTAATCTTATCCCGTTAGATATTGTTGATTTTGATGTGATTTTGGGCACATATTGGTTTGCATTATAATCGTGCCAATATAGATTGCTACGGGAAAACAGTTACTTTCCATCGTCCTGGATTACCTGAGATTACTTTTGTGGGTGAGCAGAGTGGGGTGAGGCATGACGTTATTTCTACTATGAGAGCAAAAAGGTTATTATCAAAAGGTTGCTAGGGATATTTAGATCTTATGGTGTTAAATGATGTTGCTCCTAGTAGTGTGGAGGATGTAAAAGTAGTCAGGCATTTTCCTAATGTATTCCTTGATGATTTACCTATATTGTCGCCAAACTGAGATGTGGAGTTCACTATTGATTTGCTTTCAGGTATAGACCCTATATCTTTAACTCCTTATCGAATGGCTTTTGTTGAATTGAGGGAATTGAAGATTCAATTGCAAGAATTAATTGATAAAGGCTTTATTCGGCCTAGTATGCCATCCTGGGGAGCTCCAGTGTTATTTGTGAGGAAGAAAGATGGGACTTTAATGCTATGCATTGATTATAGGCAATTGAATCGAGTAACAATTAAAAATCGTTATCCATTGCCGCGTATAGATAATTTATTTGATTAGCTTCGAGGCACCTACGTGTTTTCTAGGATTTATTTGAGGTCTGGTTACTATCAGTTGAAGATTAAAAGTGAGGATGTTCCTAAGACGACTTTTAGGACTCGATATGGTCATTATGAGTTTCTTGTGATGCCATTCGGATTAACTAATGCACCTGCAGCTTTCATGGATTTGATGAATCGAGTAGTCCAGCCATATTTAGATAGGTTTGTCATTGTCTTTATTGACGATATGCTGGTATACTCTAAGTCTAAATCAGAGCATGTTTGACAT